GGTGGTTTTGGTTTGTGTGCATGCATAGGTGACAACTAGTGTTGTCCTAAATGTACTGAGTGATTCTGGCCCGCACGGCAGGAGCACTTGCAGGCTGCCAGATAGAGCAGAGCTTCCAGCTTCTCTCCCAAACCTCCGACTTCTACCTAATGACTTCTGTGTCTCCTGCCCGCTATCTGTCCATTCCGCAGCTCAGCAATTAATTATGCACCTCCAGCCCTCACATTAATTCTGTCTCCCTAGCCCACAATCTGCCTGTTCCCCCAGCCTCACTTTGCTTCTCCTACAGCTGAAGGGGTGATTCATCCTGCTCCCTCTATCTCAGAGTGTTGCCAGGATGGAAAAGGAAGAGGAACAGAGAGCACATCAATCCATTGTTGACAGGAGTGGGGGAGCCCTGAGCTTGGTTTTCCGTTCTTCCTCCTCCCCCCGCACCTAAAAAGTTCTCTGGCTCCTGAAAGGAGATGGAAGAGCACTGTCTACCTCCTGCAACAGTCCAGATTGGCTGCTGTTCCCCAGGAGGTGGGAATGGAGGGCACACAGAGCTCCTGACCTGGTGGGTGGTGGGGGAGATGCAGGAAATTCAGTCCCAGGCATGGGGTGAATGGGGGATCACACTAATTTCCTGTCATGGTGGGGGACACAGTTTCTGGCATGGGAATAGGAGAATGGATGACAATGGTAGGGGAAGGAGGGCATGGGGGGACCCCAGAGGCACTGAGATGGTGCTAAGGGAGACATGGGAGAAGGGAGCATCACAGAGCCCCTGTTGGAGAGTGTGGGGGAATGTACAGAGCATGGGGCAAGAGGAAGGAGATGGGAGCCTTGCAAGGAGTCCCTGAAACAGAAGGGGATGGGAGGGTGGCACAGAAAGCTTGTGAGGGAGAATGGAGGAAGACACAAGAGCTCCTGGTGTGTGAAGTGTTCTTGGCCTGCAGAAGTAACAAAAGGTATGTTTACAGTGTGGTGTTAAAACCTCCTGTAGCAAATCTTAGAGCCCAGCTCTACAGCCTCGGGCTCATGCTCTGAGGCTAAAATCAGCTGTCCAGGATTGCGGTCTGCACCCTGGGGTTGAGGATGGGTTTCAGAGCCTGAGCCCTAAGGTCAACATAGCTGTTTTTAGTGTTGTAGCACAGGCCCCACAAATCTGAGTCTATAGACTCTGCTCTGAGTCTCACTGCCATGGGGTTTAAAACACAGTATAGACATACCCAAAATGTGTGACCTTCTATTGTACCCTATACAGATATGACAGATGTAGATTATACAGAATCTAAGCTCCCCCCCCCCTTGGTGGTGGGGGAGAAGGAGGAAGAATTCTAGCTCTTCTGGTTGCAAAACTAACTTTCCAAATGTGAATCAAGTGTAAGCTGATGAAGTGATGATTTTCTGAGTTTGGAGACATCTTGAAGCAATGGCATTGGGAGATTTGAACTCCTCTATTCCCTATTAATTACACTGGCGTGTCAACTCTGCCCAGTGATGAGACTTGCATATAAACATTAGCTATTTAACTGCTGATTACTTTAGAATGGGGAAAGGGCATGGGGTGAGGGGGGGATTGGGAGTTGCTGCAGGAAAGAAAGTGCAGAAGGAATGCAGGGGAAAACCACAAGGACAGAGAACAGGGAATGAAGAAAACGGGAGGATTGAGAGGGAAGGGAGGAGGTGGAAATAGCCGTGATCTTCCATTTCCTGATGGGAAAATGTGTTCATCAAAGTTCTGAACAAATAAAAACCCAGAGCTTATTTAGTAGATAAGGGCCATATCATCTGTGTAAACCTCCCATTGACAGCAGTGGACATTCTTCTATGGGTTGAGGGGGAGTATGGAATCCTAATTTTGTGTCTCAGTTCATGTCCCATAATTAAAAATGGGACTCAGCCCTCTCTAATGAAAGTTTGACATCCCTCCTGTAGTGGCTTGTAAGGGAGATAGAAAACTCTCTCTGCTAGGAGGGAAGATGCAGTATTTTGCAGAGCCACTGCCTTTCCACGGATAGCTGTAAGGAGCGCTAGGACTCAAACTTGGGTCAGCAGACTAACCAGGTAACTAACACCTCCACACTGTCACTTGGCAGCAGCTGTAAATAGGTTGCTCCTGGCAACTTGCAGATCACAGTGGATGTACACTATGGGAAATCCTGCCTGACAGACCTGATTTGGCAGCTTCCTGGGAGGCTCCTGAATGGTCCTTTGGCTTCCATATAAACCCACAGGCATACCAGGAAGTGCTCAGGTAGGCTGTCATGACTGACTCTGGTCCTGGCATCAACTTTGGCTCTGACTTGGATTCTGCCCCCTGCCCTGAATCTGGGACCTGACACCATCCTGACCTTAGCCAAGAAATCTGACTTTGAGCTGCTCAAGCCCTGCCCTATGACCCTGAAAGTAGGATGGAGAGAAACTCAATGGAAGAATAGTGGCTGTGAAAGGAGTCTGTGACAGGGGCATGCCCTTTTCTGCAATAACTGTAACTTTGAGTCCCTCCCTCACACCTTTTCTGGAACATCACGATAGGCCCCCTCGGGGAAAGAGAAAAGAGTCCACGGTTGGACCACCCAAAATGGCCGGATTGGTGTGGGTATAATGTGTGCTTATGAGCATCTTGCTGAAGTCAAGAGTAACTTTTTGAAGGGCAAGTTGTATTGAAAAAACTAAATCCCATGGTATGTAAGCAAAACATATTTTCCCACCCTTGGAAAAATGTGTTGCTAGTCTTTATATTTCCCATAAATAAAGATATTTCTTTCTTGTCCTCCCTACACAGTACTCTACTCTGGTAGGTTTTGGTTAGAATGCTTCGAGTTACTTTTCCTGTCCCCTAGCACTTTTGCACTTTAGATGTTACTTCTTGCTTTGGAGAACTAGTGTCAATGTGAAATTGTTTATGTATTGGGAGGGTGACAGAGCCACAGTTCACAAGACACTTTGCTCCTTTCCTTGCAGGAATATTACTATGTGTAAAGGAGGCACTTATTTGTTCTCCTGCTATGAATCTCCAGTTGTAGGAACCTTTGCATACCCAGTTGAACTAAGCAATACAACCATACAATCACCTTGATTATTTCCACTGAATGGAGCCTGAAGTTGTTCAGGAAATTCATCTTTGAGTGCTGCTGAGCTCTTCTTTGAGCAATAAGTACCACTATTTCCCATCTACAAACTAACAAAATTATAGTTCAGCTAAAAGTGAGTCTTAGTTCCTCAGATGGTAGCTCAACTGCCATATTAAATATATAATGAATGGTTTTCATATCTAACCTGGGTAGGAACTCTGCTGGTAGAAGACCTCAAACTTCAATGTGCCCTAAGAATGGGATACTTGCAGGGAATTTAAGTCAAGACACTTCCTCCTAAACTCTGTACTTGTTTTGTTTTATACAAATCTACAGTAGCTGTCTCTGTAGGGTAAATGAAGCAGCAGGGAGGTTGCATTTATCCCATGTCAAGATGAAAAGCTGATTACACTGATGAGCGCAGATGAAGCGGAAACCTCTCAGAGATTAGGTTTTGCTTTCCATGTGCCCTACATTGCAGGTTGACATAATTGTGTAATGTTGGTCATTTTACATGTACAGTCTTTCCTCTGTCTCCTTATCAGAGTACAAATGCACCCAAAAAGTGAAATTTCTATCAGCAAAGTATAATAATTCATCTCCCTTTGAGATAACACATTTTAAAAAGAAAACAACTAACTTTTCAAAGTACTTGGAACTGGTATATCTGTTTTCTGTTCTGTTCACAGTATTTGTCTCTGACTATGATGTGAAATAGTGATGTTATAGGTAAGGTAGTGCAAACTTGTAGGTTACTAGATGGGAGATGGCAAGTATATCATGAGCAAAATATCAAGTTTCTACAACTTTAAGAATTATCTGCAGTGATGAAAAGAAGTTTAAAATGATCAGAAAAGATCTCAAGAATTTTAGGTAGAAGTAGCAAGTGAATGACTTTAATTATTATTAATCATTATTTACTTTAAGATTTAATTTTGTTTATGAAAGACCTGTCCTTCACATGTTATGAGCTGATTTTATCAACACCTGTTTATTGCAGGAAGCACTCATATCCTTCATTAGGTTGTGGGCCTCTAGTGTTGGAGTCTTGTTAATGAATCTAAGCAGAACCACATGTGTAGCTACAAGAGATGCTACATTTTGCCTAAGCATGAGATGTCATTGTAATGTGTTAACATTTACAAAGGTCTTCAAGCATGGCTGGAATCAAAATGCCATTTTTCCTCCCAAATTGTACAGTCACTATTAATGTCTCACAGAAGGCTATATTAATTGCAGCTTTTAAAAATTGTGTCTTTATAAATCATATGTGTAATAAAATAATAAGGGTCTTTTGCTTCTTCCCTGCTTTGCTCCAGAACTGAATGTTTCAATGAACAATATCAGAAAGATTTTTAGGTAAGAAAATAGATTCTTTAGCCTCCACAAGCTCAGCTCCTCTATGGCCCATGTTTGAATTGAAGTAAAACAACTGCAGGGACGGTTCTTGTAGCTTTGAGTGTTAGGAAGTACCTGGGTTGCGCTTTTATATAGGAAGCAACTCAGAAGGCTGGGCGCTGATTATCTTTTTGTTGATGATGTAAATTCCAAAGTGGAGCTTATTTCCCTAAAAGCCCTATTTCCATCAAAACAAATAATCCTGCTCCAGGTCGCCTTGATGCTGGGCTCGGGGGAGGACGATTTCATGGATGCTCCCGGGAGAGCAGCAAGACAGATATAGCCAGCCTGAGAAGCCCAGACGTTGCAGGGGAATGTTTTCTGCCATGGGGATTTAACAGCAACCCACATGAGCAGTGACTTTCACAGGACCAGAAAATACCCCCAAACACACACGCGTTTGTTGGCAAGGGGGTGGGGCAGGGAAGGGAATGGGTGGTGATGGATGGATGGTCCCTGGGGGGGCAGAGAGCCACTGCAATCTAGCTGGGGGTCGGGGGGGGGGGAGGGGAGGTTGCTCCTCTGCTCCCTTGTTTCGGGGATTTTGGCTGCTGCTGTCGCCCAGGCCCCATCCGCTGCTGCGCCGCTTGGCTCCCGCGTCAAGCCAGGAGCTCGAGGCAGCTGCCCTGGCACCGGCACCGGCCCTGCCCCTCTCTGTGGAGCTGCCCCGCGCGGGCTCCTTTGCTGCGAATGAGCCCGGCAGGCGAGACGGGGGCAGGCTGTAAGTGCCAGGCGGCGGCAGTGGTCACCCTGAGGAGGAGGAGGAGAGGAGCGGGATTAGCGCGCGGGCAGCCGCCGCCGCAGCAACCGGACTGGGCAGCGCCTCTCTGCACCTGCAGGAGCAGCAGCAGCCGAGCCGAGGACTGCGCGTCTTCCAAGGTAACAACCCTTCGTCCGTCCGTCTGTCTGCCTGCTCCGCTCTGTCCCTCCGCTTCCCGGCAGTGTCTCCTCCCGCCACAGCGCAGGGCTGCCCGCTCGCCGGAAAGAAACTTCGGATTTATTCGCAGTCACCGCGCGAGTGCAGAACACAAGGGGGAGAGAAAATCTTTATTGCCAGCTCTCTCCTCCTGCTGCTGCTGCGGCTGCTTTATAAATAGCTCCTGGGCAGAGGCAGAAGCGGGGATCTCTCTCTTGCCTTTATTAGTTTCCCTTGCAGCCCTGTTAGTTCTCCCCACCTCCTACCAGCTGTATTAAGGCAAGATGTCGCTGGGTTATTTTTGTTTGTTTCTGAAAACTGTCAGAATTGTGTGCGGTCCCTTCCCTCTTCTCCTGCTGCAAGACGGATGCAGCAAGGCTTGGACTGGGGGGTGGTTACAAGTTCCCCCTATAGCGGGCTTTGATGGATGCAAATCCCTTCCTGCACTGGGGAGGGTGGGTGACTAGAAGACACATGATTAATGTTTACAGCATTCAAACAATCTGTCTTTCTCAATGTGTAGAGTTTGGGAGGAACCACCGTGGAAAATAGGAGACTGCTCAACTCTATCCTGTGTAAGGTTATATACAAAGTCCTGGTGTACTGTATATACTTTCCCATAACTTTGTTTTCTCTGATTTTTTTTAATTAAGAGGCCACCCCCCCCCCCCCGAAGAAACTGTGTGTATCAACAATATATTGGCAAAACATTATCATTGCTCTACTCTGGGGTCTTCCTAACACACACATGTCAAAGGCTATGTGTATGTAGGTAATTAAAATAGATTCTCCTTTCTGAAGCACGCTATTATATCAGTTGAGACATTGTTCCAGTGGCCAGATCATTGGTCTGGGGACCAGAAATACCCAAGTTCTGAATCCTAGTTCTGCTGCTGTGTCATTATATGGCTTTGTGCAATTGATTTAGGCTGGCTCTTCATCTGTGAAGCCTGTATGTGTGTTGGGGAGTAACAATATTTCCTTGCTTTCTAGGACCTCTTTAAAGATGAACTAATGAAAAACAATAATTTAGTCAACAAAAAGTGGGGAAAAAATGATCCAAATCCTATCTAATATTACTGAGCATCATAAAGCGTCCATTATCTGATTGTGCATAGAACACTTTGAGAAGTGCTATGCATGTGCTAAGTATTAATTGTAATTGTATAATAATACATGAACAAGTCTTATTTGTAGAACTATATCAATAACACAAGCAAGTATAAAAATTAAGTTAAACAGATGTAACTTTCTGAAATTTTTTATCTTTCAGGCAGAAATAATCCTAATTTGGCCTCTGCTTAGAGATGAATTTATTTGTTTTGGCAAGTTTCAGCAGAAACTGTTCAGCCTTTTTTGATTAGAGGGAAAATGGGAGGGAGGCAGAAGTGTCAGTGTTTCATTATTAGAAAATAAAAAACTACTACTTTCTTTCTTTCTTTTGTAACAGTTTTCCAACCAAAATGTCTGGGGCTAGGAAGTCAATATTTGATATGAAATTGGCCCTTTTTGAGAAGTACCTTCTAAGGTTCCAGTGAAAATTCCTTTTGACTTGACTGAGATATGCCCCCTTGAAAATCAGGTTCTCTGCACCTGGAATACATTTTTTCACAAAGCTTGTAAAGTGCACAGCTATGTGTGCATATCTACGTTAACTGCATAGTGAGAAGTTAGCAGTTGGCATAGGGTTTCTTAACACTTTTGGAAAGTATGTTGGGATGGAGGCATACATACCTATAGAAGCATGGATAAAAGTTAAATATTTCTGTGAACATTATGCCCCCACATTTAGTCAAACATTTGAAAGAAAAATGAGAATATCCTAGAAACACTTCTCAGCTGAACAATTCAAAAAGAAACACAGCATATAAATGACTTATTGTCCTAATACAGAGCTTTATCTCAGGCCCTTCCCTTCCCTTTTACAAGGTGTGCAGGAGCCCTGGCAGTCCCTGTGCACTCAGGGTATGTCTACACTACGAAATTAGGTCGAATTTGTAGAAGTCGTTTTTTTAGAAATCGTTTTTATATATTCGAGTGTGTGTGTCCCCACAGAAAATGCTCTAAGTGCATTAAGTACATTAACTCGGCAGAGTGCTTCCACAGTACTGAGGCAAGCGTCGACTTCCGGAGTGTTGCACTGTGGGTAGCTATCCCACAGTTCCCGCAGTCTCCGGAAATGAGATTGAAAAGTTCGCAGTTCTTTTCCTGTCTACCTGGCCAGTGCATCTGAGTTGAGAGCGCTGTCCAGAGCGGTCACAATGGAGCACTCTGGGATAGCTCCCGGAGGCCAATACCGTCGAATTGTGTCCACAGTACCCCAAATTCAACCCGGCAAGGCTGATTTAAGCGCTAATCCACTTGTCAGGGGTTGAGTAAGGAAATCGATTTTAAGAGCCCTTTAAGTCGAAAAAAAGGGCTTCATCGTGTGGACGGGTGCAGGTTTACATCGATTTAACACTGCTAAATTCAACCTAAAGTCCTAGTGTAGACCAGGGCTAAGACGAGTAGGGTTCACAGAAAGGAACCCAACTCTTTAGAAGTTTCACAACGAGATGAGGCCACAAGGGAGAGTGGATAAATGTCAAAGATAATGACTTGCTCAGATATATTAGCTTTACTGAAATAAATTAATAACAATGTCAACTCTTACTAAACTAAACAACAAGTGTAAACTCTTACTAAAAAATTACTGAACCATTTAATATTACAAAGATACGGGAAAGCTGATGCTTTGTTTTGTGTCATCAACCAGGCAAAGAATGACAGTTCCTGCAGCCCCAATGGCAAAGAACACTTCAACCTTTCCAATATTGTTACTGAATACATGTAAATGTAAAGGGTTAATATAATCTCAGGTCTTTAATGAGGAAATCTTTTCTAAATTCTGAAGTTACTTATGTACATAAGTGTTTATAGGATCAGAACCCCAGACTGTGAAGTAACATTGTAATAAACCCCAATCCTTTTTTTAATTTAAGGTTCTAAGATGAGCCATCTTTCTGACTTAAAGAAAATGTATTTAGTATGCAGTATTTATGTAAGGGGTGAGTAGAAAAACATTCCTATTGTTATATGTACTTCTAGTACTACCTCTTCCAAGAATTACTTTCTCACCCCCCTCCCCCAGCACTTTCACAAATGTGTTTGTTAGCTTTAATCCTGCTTCATCCATTTTGGCAGGAACTGGTATACATGGAAGAGCATTCTTCTGTTGAATGAACTAAGCTCTGATCTTATGACTTGTATGTATATGACCATACTTAATTACATAACTTGTGTTTGTAGACTATATTCTATTGACTTTTTTTGTTACTTTGATAAGCAGTGAAATAAAAGGGTCAAAGATCTTTTTAATAGGAAATAGGGAATCCTTTTGCCTGTGTCATGCAGCTATCAGAGGGCTATAATGTGCTTATGTTTTGTGGACTTGGTAACTGGAGTATGAGCGCTAAGTGTGTGTACAATTATATTAGGATTGCATCAATGTACTTATTCCTTTATTCCCACTTCACTTGCTGTTTTCCGCTACTCATCATTGCTTTTTATAGCTGGCATTTGCTGGTGATGGCTGACAGGCTTACTGTACTTTCATGTTTCTTCACTGAGTCGTTTAGGGATAAGCATAATCTAGGGGCTGGTATGTCATTTTAATGACACACTTTGGAATGCTATTGTCCCTCCATACCAAGCAAACATAACCAGGAAACTCTATACTTACCATTACTATTATTCCTGATCAGGTGAACAACTTAGGGCCCTACCCTGCCCAGCTTTCTTCTACAACAGCAGATCTTACAGCTCTCTGTAGCCGGAGATGGTAGCTAGATCCCCTCAGAGTAACATTCCCTCAGAGTAGATCCCCTCAGAGTAACATTTTTCCCTCGCTTTGAGAGGTGGTCAGAAAATTCTGGAAGTGAACCACTGGCTAGGTAAGTGGTATAAAGTAGAGGGGTTTGATTTTGTCGAACACTGGTCCACCTTCCATAGGGAGAGGGGGCTGAACAGTTTGGATGGCCTCCATCTCAATAAAAGGGAAACCAATCTTCCTGGGCACAGGTTGACAAGTCACGATGGCATTGAATTAATAACAAAAGGGGAGGGCAAAAAGAAGGAACAAATGAAGGAACAAATTGCTGATGCTCTCATACTAGAAGTTTGAGAAACAAACAAGAGAAATTGCTCATTTATGAGCATAAATTCGACTTAGTTGGCTTTACTGAAACCTGAATTTCCACTATATGCATCCGACGAAGTGGGTATTCACCCATGAAAGCTTATGCTCCAATACGTCTGATAGTCTATAAGGTGCCACAGGACTCTTTGCTGCTTTTACAGATCCAGACTAACACGGCTATCCTTCTGATACTTCAAAATAGTTATAACCTATTTAGGAATGATCAAGTGAACAAACAGGGAGAGGGAGTGGCACTCTGTCAGAAATAACATTACCTGTTTCTGAGTCACTGATACCTTGTAAGAAAATGATCTTGAATGCTTATGGATCAATAACTGGATGGGGTGTTAGTTGATGTCTGCTGCTGACTGCCAAATCATACTAGGAGACAGGATGGCCAGCTCCTTAAGCACCTTATCTATGTTGTGTAGGAAAAAAGCTGTTTGATTGTAGGAGACTTCAATCTGAGTGACATATGCTGGAGGTTTTATACTGCCAGTACTAAAACATCTTTGGAATTTCTAAATATTATAGATGACCATTTCCTAACTTAAGAAGCATTGCATCCAACATGAGGGAATTCTATATATTAGACCTCATCTTGACAGATAAAGAGGAATTGATCATAGAACTAAAAATTAGTGGTAACTTATGTACAAGTGATCATGAGTTAACCATGTTTATTATGTACAAATAGAATAAAGCCCAACACAGTAATATATATAGTTGGTGCTTTAAAGGCTAGTTTTCAAAGCCAAAAACACTTATGAGCCATATCAGTTGGGA